AAATGGCATGTTCGAGAATAAAGATTCAAGAAGGTTCATTAAGGGCCCAAGAATGATGATAACAGTGCTAGAAGCCCAACTTAATGTTGTACGAGGCTAATGAGGAGTCAATATTGAAGAGTTCGCTTAAAATATCATGCGATAAGCATGTGCCTTAGGGGAAGATCAAAATTCAAAAGTGACATTCAAGAACACTCTAGAAGAAGCATCAAGAATGCGTCCTTTCAGTGTTAATTATAAGATTAAATTCCAATTTTAATAAGTTTCCTATATATTCAATTTTTTTTAATAAGGCCCGACACAACAGTTTTGATCTCTAACATCACTTTAGTTTGCAACAATTATAAAAGTATTGCCTAATGCATGAATAAGTAATAATTTTTATGTGTCACTATTTATCTTCACTTTAAACAACAATTATTTGGCAACAACTGAAAATTATACTCTAAAGTAGAATAGGCGACAATTTCCAACTATTGCAATAACATTTTAAAATAAGAAACTTAAAAATTATTGCATATAAAACTTCTTTTATTGTAACATTTGAAAATTGTCTCTATTTTAATAGGCAATAAAAAATAAATATTACTTTTTGCAACAATTAAAAATTGTCTATTGTTTACTTAGGTAAAAAAACTATTTTCTTTCATCTTTTATCAAATTTTAGCACATTCTTATTACTTTATTTATTATTTAATCAATCTAATATTTTATTTAAAATAATTCTAAATTTAGTTTAAAAATTACCTCTATATATACTATTTTGTAATATATAACATAATAATAAAGTTGAAAAAGTGATCAGAAGTTGTATTTATATACATGAGGTTCAAGGTTCAAGTGCTAGATAGGAAAAGAAATATTAAATTTTACCTATTTTAAGTTTACTGAATAATTATTGTTATAGAAAGGCAACAACTCGAAATTGTTGCAATAGGTTTGAAGTAAAAATTGTTACCTATTGTCATATTTTAAAACAACAGTTTTCATTGAATATTGCCTAAAATTTTAAAAACTATTGTCTTAAACAAGGTAATTCTGGCCAAAAAAAAGTAACACTAGAATATACAACAGTTGAAAAATGTTCCCTAAAGTTAAAGGCAACATTTTTTATAATTATAGAAATAGTTTTAAACATCATTATAGAGCAAAAATGTTGCAAGGGCCGTTGAGTCAAAGATATTTTCTTAGATGATTCTGTTTTGATTTAGTTTAATTTCATATGTCCAGCTAGGTGGGAAACTTGTTTTTGAAGTAAACAATTTCTTTTTTCTGACATCTCTCATTATTAATGAGGTGGCAACCCTAGCATTTATTTATTTATTTTCAAATGAAGAGAGATCCTTAATCAAAAATGATAACAAGTTAGTTAAATCTGTCAAACAATCTCCTTTCATCATCAATCACTTAATATAATAAGGTGAGAATTGTTCAAAGTAATATAACAAACAAAATCATTTTGAGCCTGCGTGGCCAACAAAATGATTTTAGAATTTGATTCTAGAGTATTTCATACCTTCCAATAAGCAGGACATTCCCATGTACTCGAAAAAGAGGAAGACTTGAAAGAATTGTATATGTTTTGAGAATTTTCTCTCTTTGCGTGAGTTTTGTTGGGAGAAAATAAATGCAGAATGTGAAAATATGATTTACAAATAATTATATATTAGAGTAACAACGAGAGTTATATATGAGAATAACAACAAGAGTCCTTTATGAAATACGTCTCACCATTTTTTATTGATTTGATATAGAGTGTTTATAAATAGTAACTTCAATAGAATAATGAAATCAAAAAAAGTTTTGTCAAAAGAAAGATTATTAGGGTATTGTTCAACTAGTGTAAAGGCAAAATGATGAACTGAAAATAGTCGTCACTAGTCAGGAAACTCTTAGAGAGTAGAGATTATGTTTTTTGATACACACTATACTCTCACTCAAGCAACTATCATTTATTTATAGTCCCTATCATGCTATTTTTAATTTACTTGATTAAATAAATGACTAATAATATCTCTCAACCTGGACTCATTCGACAATTGACTAGCAGGCTACACTCAAAATATTTTATTTAACTGAAAATATAACAACTAATTGTCAAATATATTACATAATTTAATAAAATATCTAACAAGCTTACCCTTGCATCCTCGTATTTTTGTGTGAATACTTTGACTGCATGAAGGGACTGCTCATCTTTTGTGTGTCATGCATGTTTCTAGCCGATCAGATCCTGCTCGAATATCACATGACAAAAAACAAAAAAAATCCCAGAAAAGTTAAAAAGGAAAAAAAAAAGAAAAATCTTCTCCAAATCCTTTTCTAAAATTGAATGGAAGAAAACAATAAGAAATTAAAAAAAATTAAAGTTGGATCATTAACCGTTTATGTGCCCAATCAGGGGCAGAACCAAAACAGGGGGCTTTGGGGCCAATTTTTTTTTTTAAAAGTTAATATATATACTGATTTTTTTAAAGAAATTATATTTAGAATAAAAATTATATTAAAATACTTTTATAATGTACAAAAAAAATCATAAGATAAGAATCATTTAGAATTATGTAATTTTTTTTAAAAAAATAAAGTTATGTCCTAGTATATTTTTTATACATATAATAGAAACTTAAAAAAAATTGTAAACTCCGTGTACTTAAACTAATATTAAACTGGGAAAAAAATATTACATGTCTACCCTTATCCAAAAAATATCCAGAACCAAAATATTAGAAAAAGAAATTAAAACTAAAGCAAGGCTAAAAGAAGAAACTAAAACACGGGAGACATGCATACGCTTGCACTAGTTTCAAATGCAAGCTCTCAGCATAGACTGCATTGAAGTTGGTGAGGATTGAGCGGATATCTTTTGCGATCATCGAACGAGAGCCTATATCGAAGAAGAATTTTGGCCAACCAAAAAGATGGAGGTCTTAAGATTGAAAATTCACAAGAATAGGAGCCATTGTCAAGGTCTAGAGTAAGGTTGAACGGAGGCTGGGAATTCCAAAGTCACTAAGATTTATAGATTTGCACTTGCACCAATTAAACAAGGCAATTTGTCGTCTATCCTTAAGAACAAGAATTTTAATCACTTTGGAAAGCTTTTGTTTTTCCTTTGTACAAATGAAACACAATCCATTAATTAAAAAATTTTATTAATTACACTTCCCCAATTAAGGGATATTTGAAAAAATATTATTAATTGCACATTGAAAAATTCAAAATATTTTATATTTTTTAACATCTTATCTCATGAAAAATGCCCAACATTTTTAAATGTTGTGAGTATATTTTTGCTTAATATGCATGCAGTATAAGAAGTTATGTATGTGTGTAAGGGGGAGTATTCTTTTTATTAAAGAAGGGGCAGGGACTCCTCGTGCTCAGACGCACACAATAGCAATACACCCTCATGCATGAAAATTGCAATGAAGTTGGCCCCCTCAAGGTACAAGTAGGTCTGTCCCTGCATCTAATTATCTTGACCATTCCTATGACATTTGGACGATCCTCTTTTTTTTTTTTTGGCAGAATTGAATGATTTTTCCCCATGCAGATTGCAGAATGAAAAATAATTCAACGTTATAATTACTATCAACCTATCAATAAATAATATTTCAATTTAAAATACATAAAAGTAAAATAATACAACTTACGTGGTTCAAATAAAATATATATGCAAGTGGCAGGAGCTACGTTATTCTAGCTTGTTGGCTAAATTCAGTTTTGTTTTGTTTTTTTTCCTTCTGGTGAAAAGTTTTTCATTTATTAAAAAATGATTCAGTTTCATGGTATTAAAGTATTATGTCTTCATTTTAATACTTTTACCGCGCAACTAGAAGTGATACAGTAGTTTAGGTAACACAGAAGTTGAAAAGCCCAAAATTTAAAATTTGCATTTTAATTCTCAAGTTATTTTTTTATTAATATTTCTATAATTTTTGATAAAAATTTGAAAACTCATAAATAATTTTAAAAGCATGTTTTCAAATTGGTTCTTGGATCATTTCAAAGCATGAGGATTGAGGAGTGCTCTACATGAAATATATATATATATATATATATTAGCTTTTATTCGTGCCAAATAGTACTACAGTTTATTGTTTTTATAAAATTCCTCGGTTTTTCGAACTGATTTTTTAACTTTAAAAATTCATAGCTCACATGTTATGTATCCAATTTACCTGGTTTAAGACTTACCTAAAAGCTTTATATTATACAATGAAATAGTAACCTTTACTCTTAAAAGAACTAATCTGGACAGTGCTGAGGGGGGAAAAAAGATATTGCAGTGACAGAAATCCCTGAAGTAAATACAAAGTATAGATCATCACCTGTTAAACCATGTGCAAAAATCCTTAAAATTGTAGTACTAGCTTAATTAGATATTTTAAGTTCAAATTTTGAAAACACAATAGTGTTAGTAGAGCTTCCAACTAAAAAGATCTCGATCTAGTTTGATCTAGATTAATCTAGATCTTACGAAAGTTTTGAGGTGGGATAGAACCAAGATACCAACGTAGTCAACGTAAAAAAACATATGCAACTCGCATTACCCCCATCTCTCTCTCAACAGACCTGCGAAAAGACTATAAAATATAATTAAATATGATTTCCCAAGAAAAAGAAAGATTTCGCATGCATGTGAAGTGCTCTCTTTTGTTGGGCTCGTGACTAGGGTTCCTGACTCCCTTGTGAACATTAATGACTTTTTTTTTGCAACTTGTTTGATAAATAATAGTATCCAATTTGAAAGAATCTTCACGCGCTGCCAACCCCAAGCGGGCGCGCGCGCACACACGTATGTATGTATGTATGTCTAATTCTACAAGGAAGGAAAATGACAAAAATACAATGATACGAATACTAGTGCAACTTACAAGTGGTCCATTATTTTATATTTCTACTTAGTCAGATCCTACAGAAATGTGGGGGTTGAACGAGCATACCTCATAATCATAGAAAGAAAGCAACAAAGAATGAAACTCAGAAAAAGCTGGAAATTGAAGTAATTCAAACTAAAATTAGAAAGTGCAATTGCAGTTACAATTCCAATGACAATAACAATACCTCAGTGCAAGGATTACTAAATACTGAGTTAGAACTAGTAGCAAACACTTGACACCCATCCAAACACACATTGTTAAAGACACAATAATTAATGAAACAGGACCATCAAATAAGATGACCTAATGCTTAATTAACAATACTATCATTATTATTGGCGAAGCTAGCTAGCGTAGCTTAAGCGCATTGGAAATCTTTTGGAGGATTCTTCTCGCAGGCATTGAGAAGCAAGCTCAGAGAAATGGGGATGTTAATGTTAATGCCGAGAATGTTAGCTTTAATAGCGGTACACAGACAAACAGCAACCTCAAGATCCACGAGCCCTTCAAGCAGTGAGCAACATGGGTGGTCTGGTGGGGACCCCACCACTGCACCAACTGGTCCGTTTAGAATGTTCGCACACACTCCTAGCTTCAGTGCATCTCTGGGACAGCTCTTGGCTGCAGGACTAGAGTTGTAAGTTGGCTTAGGCTTTGGCTGTGGGCAAGTGAAAAAGCAACCACTTGAAGTTGACACGAAGAGAAGCAGATTGAGGCAGAGAAAGAGAGCGAGTGTTGAAGAAGATCTAGAACACTTCATTTCTTTCACCCTCAAGTTGCTTAGCAGTAATTAGGGCTTACTTAGAGCGAGTTATTTGGGGTAATGAAGGAGTGATTAGGGATTACCAATGTGAGTATTTATAGGTGTTTGAGGTAAATGTTTGGTTTTGATGGAGATTAATTAAGGCTATGCATGTCGTCACATGCTTGCAAGATCAGATCACTGTGATGATGACATCTAAGCTATCCAAAATTGATTTTAACGGTCGAGATTTACAATTTTAAACTTACATTTTTTTATGTAAAAAAGTATATTTTCTTAACTTAAAAAGTATATTTTGATCATAGAATTATCTTTAATTTAAATTACGTATCTCTTAAAATAATAATTCATTAAAATATAAAAATACAATTTATATTAAATCTGGATTGTCTAATTTTAATCTTAACTATTTTGCACTAAAAATTATTGGGTTAAGGTGCAAAAATATTCAAAAACCTTTTTTTCTAGAAAATTATAGTATTATCAAATCAGCAATGGTATATATATACCTATTAATTTCATAATAGTCTGATGATCAAACGTTTGTTATCTTCAAAACTTAACCTTCAACATCAAATAAATTGGAAAAAGTTGGCTTTTTTTTTTTATAAAATTAATTGATACTTATGCACTATTACTTATTTTAAGATATTAAAAGCTCCTGGTAAAAAATAACCCAAACTAATTTCAATGCTCGAGGGTTTTATTTGATGCATCGTGGTTCATGTATAAACGACGAAGCCATCATCAAGTTTTAGCTGGCACAGCCAGTGGTTTTAACATAAAGAATACAGTAGAGTAACTTTCTGTTTGCAAAAGGAAATCAATTATTTCACAGGTAATTAATTATTATTCAGAAGAAATGATGGATGCTTTGTCAGATTCATGTCTTGTGGAAAATAAGTTAACAATATTTGAGTTTTGACCAATGGATCACGAGGCACTCCCGTGAACTTCTTTTATGTAATATATTCCCCGATAAACGGCATGTGAGATTTCCACTATTGTATAGTCCGAAAGCATGTGATGTTTTCATAGGGACTTTCTTTTTTTAAGTCGCTAATACTAATCTGTTAGTATTTTGTAATTGTTTTCCAAAATTATGCCTTAGCCTTGTGAACCCTTCAATCTTTCTCCCATAAATTCTCTTTTTTTTTCTCTATTTAAGTTTGTTATCATATTTTTTATAAAATTAAAAAATTTAAAATAATGAATGTCAAACAAAACAACAAATGCGATACTATTTTTATCTCTTTCATACTAAAAAAATTGAAATAATTAACTTCGTAATAATAAAAACTTCAAGTTCATCTCAACAAAAAACGAGGAGGAGAAGGAGGAAGTTATCCATCACTACTATAGTGGGGCAATGGTGCTTTCTTGATTGTAAGCTACTATTCTGATTTCTTTTTTTATAAGGTGTTTTATAAAAAGAAAAAAGCAATACTAATTATAAGATGTTAAATAAAAAGATGTAATAATCTTCCAGTTTTATCTTTAAATTGGAAAAAAGTATTTGTACAAATAACAAGTTAATTTATTTCAAAAAAAAAAAGTTGATTCACTGTCTTCCTTTATTTATTAGGAGTATAATTGAAAGTTTGAATTATTTTTTAGGAAGAATAATAGTTAAGTCCCATGGGGACCAATTAATTCAAGTTAAGTCCCAATTAGTTTCATAGTGCCAACAAAGTCTCTTGGTTCTTCAAGGGTAATAAATCTAATAGTTTTAGAGATTTGCAAGTTTGGCTTTAAATTATGCAACTTCATTGTAATGAATTTGTAATTTATTTTTTAAATTTTAACAAGGAACACAAATTTCATCTTTAATATTGAAAAATATTCTTAGATCAAGCAATTGTATCTACGAGAGGATAAATTGAGTGTTTAGAAATTTTTTGATTAAAAACAAATCTTTCACAAAAAGTAGCTTAATTGAATGTGCAACTGAAGTTTTATCAAAACAAGTTAGCAAAGCTTCAAATACTTCAGTTATTAAAATCTTGTAAAAACACTTGAAAGAAGATTCAAATTAAGTTTCCAAACGAAGTATATAAATAGATTGAAAAAACCTATGAAATTGCAGAATTGAAATCCACTTGAATGAGTCAGCAAAGAACACTAGTGCATAATTTGTTTTTTATAGAGAACTTTTAATTTCAAAGGCACCCGCTATTAAAAATAGAGGTGGTGGCATTTTTGTAATATTGGCTGTCAGTGTATGACTTTCAACATTAGGTTTAAATTAAACCACTGTATAAAATACTTTTAACATTGAGTATTTTAAAATTTTTAAAAACAAAAAATATTACACATTTAACCTGATATTTTTTTTATTATTTATAAGTCTTTCTCAATAAGGAAGTAAAGGGCCAGAGAGTTAGGTTTGTGCATAATCAATTATGCGTCAGGCTAAGTACGAGGTTCAAAATGGTAGATAGATTTGTGTGAACTTATAAATATTTGTGTATAAAAGGTAAAAAAGGGGAAAAAAAGAATAGAAAAAACACTGCTTTTGGCTAGTAGGATTGTCAACACCATTTTGCAAGATGAAAGGGTAACTAGAGAAAGATTAGACTTGAATTGATTTTATTATACGTGGAACAAGGAAATTTTCAAGAATAGATTGATATTAGTGAATTTTCAATTTTCAACAATGGTGATATGACAAGTGGTGGTGGGGAGAGAAATCCAAAGGCATGGTCCCAGAAACGAGTATTAATGGCTTATTCTAGATAGTTGAGACGTAAGGATAGAACGACGTGGGATATTGTCATGTAACAATTTTGGGTTCTCTGGCAGATTTGGACCGGGGACCAGGGTTTTTACTATAATGAGTGGGTCTAATCAATTCTACTATGATGAAGATTTATATGGGATGAATAAAGAGCGGGTGTATGTACGGATGAGTCTTAGAGTAGTTTTGATGGGAGAATGCCAGCATCTTGAAAGCCTGGAATTGTTTTCTACTTTCTTTTCTGTCTTATCTGCAATTTTTGGTGGTTTGTCTCTATTTTCTATCTGAACTCCGAAAATTCTGTTTATTCTCAAACACAATTTTGAGTTGTAGGCTGGACTTCCTTACTGTCTTGTATAGCCATTTCAGCGGTGAAAGTAGCCTGAAGCTCTTTGGAGCTATAATGAATTGCATTGGTATTTCCTTATATACTTGATCATTTTAAATTTGGAACCTACAAATATTTCAAAACCCATTTAATCAATTTAGTACTCCCCCACTTTAGTATTATAAGGCACATTTAACTAATTTACATTTTCCTATAAGCTATTAACATCATTTAAAATTGTATATTCTTTTCATTTTTTACCTTTATCTAATAAGTTGTCTCCATTAGAGTGGTAAGCAACCACAGAACACTAGTTTATATGGCATATATGTGATGAGCTATATGCTCAACATTATTACACTAGAAATGACTGAATTTACTAATAAGATATATATTTTTTAAAAAAACTAATTTTATTATTATTTGAATTAGTTAGTTAATGTTTTAATTGCAATTTTATACTCACCGAGGAAGAGCTTGAAGAGGTTGATGACATCCTCACATGCTAGGAATAATGTTTTGTAGATGGTATGTGAGGTTTAGGTAGGTTTTTTTTTTTAATGAAATTGCATACAAAATTTTGAGTTTTATGTAATTTCCATAGAATTTTGTATTGAAATTTGGATTGTTGAAATGTGCTGGAATTAGCTAACTAACGACAAATTGTATAACACATTTTGATTTGCAAAAATTGGAGAAATAATTAGAAATAGATTTATTTTTTAAAAAAAATTAATACCGGTTGGACAACTGCCATTAAAATTTTTTTTATCTACCATTTAAAGCCTATCATGTAATAGTGGAATGTAAAAATTAAATTAACAAATCAATGTTGTAAAGAAATATTGGAACAAACTTTGCAGATGAAACATCCCTCACTCATATATTGGACTTATTTTATATTAAATATTATTATTATCTAAAACTCAAATTTTTAAAACCTTTACCAAGGTAAAAAATGTCTACAATAATAATAAAGAGTGAGTCATTTTACCAACCACTACCATGATAATAAAAAAGTATACCATATTAGAAAAGAGAAAACCAATAATTTAGAATTCTTACCATAGTAAAAAAAGAGTTTATCATGATAATTAAGAACCAAAATAATCATTTAGAAAATATATCATGATAAAAAAGAACTTTTTATAATTAAAATATTTCACAAATATTAGCTACTATAATAGAAAAGGATCTCTCATCGTAATAGAAGCTTCACAAATCTAGTGAGATCTACCATAGTATTTGAGAACCTAACATAACTAAAAAGGAAGTGTGATGTTAAAATTGGATCTCATTCAACAAGTCTTAAAAAAAGATAAAAAACCTGTAAAACATTTTAAAAAACGGATAATAGTTCCCAACAACTTTAAAATAAACAATTTAAATCTTTAATGACAGTTGCATCTCCCAAATAATCAAATAACAATATCTTCATATCATGAGGGGTGGATAGAAGTTTTATGGCCAATATAATAATATAAATAATCCCAAATAAAATATTTGGATCATGAGGGGTAGATGGTCAACATATGCAAGATAATTTAAATTAAAAAATCTACTAACAAAGATGTTCTAAATTATCATTCTATACATTACTTCCACCAAAAAGAGAAACCACATAGGTCAAGAGCGTCAACATACACCCAATTACTCTCATAGTGCTTCTCCTATTGGACCCTCTCCTGTAGAAACAATAACCACAAGGAATGACATGCAATGGTCCCTTTAATTGATTTTAAGATGACATGAAGCATGTCAAGTAATCAAATATGTGGATTTCTAAGTGAGAACAAAACATATATATATATATATATATATTCCATTTTGCAAATACACATGTATAGCATGAAAACTCTTAGGTACTCGTTATTCTAGTTCACTCAACTAAAGGTAAACTAATTCAAGCCACACATGTCATTTACTAAGCATAATGGGGCCTACCATGTGATAACATTTATCCAACACATGATTCCTAACCATACATCAATATGTCATGTAATTAAT